TTGGAATCATGATGACCTCAGCAGTCTTCCACCCAGCAGGGAAGCACTGGATTTTGAGCGTCGCATTGATTATTGTCACCAAGTATGTCAGGGCTTTCGGCGAGAGCAGCTTCAACGCCTTGTTGGTGATTTGGTCCTCCCCGGGTGCTTTACGCACCTTGAGGTCTTTAATATGACTTAGGAGCTCCGCTGGTGTGCAATGTGGAAACTCGGAGGGTTCCGCTAATGTGCTATGTGGAGCCTCAGACGAATCTTCTGAAGAAGAGTCATCTGAAGAGGATTCAGTGCCTCCGCTAACGCCGTTGGCTCTAAAATATCTCCTGACGGATCGTACGATGTGCTGTTCCTCGTCGAGGTCATTATCGAGATCATAGTTGGGAGAGAACTGTTTTTCCATGGCATCAGCGAAAACCTCGACCTTATCCTCCGTTCTGAAGACTATGCCTTCAGGACCGTAGATGTGTGGGAGTTGTTCTCGCTTTCCGTTTCTGAGTGACTTTGCGACCCTCCAGAGAGGAATACTTGAATCAAGCATTCCCGCCAGAAAGTCGCTCCATTGCTCGTTGCGGAGTTCGTGCAGTGCGTTTCTCACTTCATGGACAAGATTTGTAGCTCTACGAATGTCATCAGGATGACAAGACCTTTTTGCCTGCTTAATAGCGGCTCTTTTGTCAGAGATTTTCTGACGAATGTCCGCAGGCAAAAAAGGTCTGCCGTGTCGTTGTACAGGAAATACAGCTGCACGCTGTAGAGCTGCTTGAATGAAACTTGTCCACTCCGCTTGAGCGGCATCTATTCCAGACTCATCATCTATAATCGGAATATTGGGAAACTCTCTAAGGAGCAACTTGTATAGGTCCCAATCAATGCGTTTCCTTGGAGGAGCTGCCTCCTCAGAAGTTTGCTCATTGCCCACATCCAATACAACAGGTAGATGGTCACTAGAGATATCATACAAGATTCGAGAAGAGATACTGTATCTACAGTTTTTAGATATCGCGAAATCGATGACATCTGGTGCCTGAAGATGGTTGAATGGATGATGTGTCGGCTCTTCAGTGCTATGTATAAGGTACCCATTTCGCATCACATGGTTGTACAATCGAACCCCACTAGTGGAATTCAACCTAGAATTCCATGCTCGATGTTTGCAGTTGAAGTCCCCTGCCACAATAAGCGGACCCGAGTAGTCCAAAAGGACCTCCAGATCCGCCTCTTGTAGCCTGGCACCACACCTGACATACACCGATGTGATCTTCAACGAGACATCTCCCGCCCTATTGACCACCACAGAAGCTGCTTCGATGCTATGCATCTCCGCATTAGTGCTTCTATAATAGTCTATACCGCGCTTAATCAACACTGACTAAACCGCCGCCTCGACCATTCAATCTGTCACCTCGGATAATATCATAATTCGGGAGAGCTAGACGATCTCCCGGATTAAGCAACGTTTCCTGCAGCAAGGCCACATCTATACCTACATCCAAAAGAGCTTGATGAAATTCCCGTTTTTTGGGAATATCCCTCATGCCCAAACAATTCCAAAAAAGAATTTTGATGAATGCAGGCTGTCTACTATTGTACCTAGACATTTACGGGAAATATCGCCTGCAACGCTTGGGTAGCGCTAATCAGTGGGCTTATTATTTGTTGTAAGGACCTTAGCGCGGTTGCCAGGTCCACATTTTGCGTGCTCAAGGGAGGTTGGGCAGAGGGGGCAGCAAGGTTGCCTCCCGAGCTCCGTCCGCGTATGATATATTGCGCCTTTGCGCTATAACTTGCAAGTTCCTCCTTGGAGTGAATTTGCAAGTCCGGCTATTTGCGGGATGTCCCTCTCCACAGTTCGCGCACTTGCGTTCTTCCTCTTCTGTGAGGGGGCACAAATGCGTCATGTGGTCCTTTGCACATTTTAAGCATTTGGGCGGTGCAGTGCAATATGACTGCGCATGCCTATACTTTTGGCAGCGGTGACACTGCCCGATGAGTCTGGAGTTTTTCTGAACCTCAACTCGAATGGCCAGTCCCAGCAGTTCGTGTTCGTTGAACACTTGCTGAGACTTTTCAGTCTTAGGCAGTATCACGACCACCAAAGGCATGGGCGCGCCGCCGCTACGCTTCAATCGAATGATGTGAAGAGGGCTATATCCCCTCTGCTCCAGTTCTCCCTTAATCTCAGTATCCGAAAAGTTGACGGGAACTCCTCGAACCACCGCATGGATGTTCTGTTCCGAAGGGAGAGGAAAAGTGTGATGGGGCACTTCTTCCTCTCGGAATAGGCGAACGATCTTACGGTAGTCGTCCTCGGATTTAGGAATAATCCTTATTCCCGCATCAACGGCAACCGCGCGATCTATTTTAATACCTAGGGAAATAAACTTGAAATTTAAAGTTCGCCATCCCGTCCCGTCGCGTAAGACGATCGGGGTTATGCGCCCTTGTCGTGAGGGTTGTGTTGATGCCACGACGGTTGGACGAGATGACGGAGGAGAAGTAACATCGGCTGACGGAGTCACCTGACAGGTAGATAACGTGGTCCCTGGCTTGGTAGTAGAAGCATTAATAGTGGTTCGATTTGATGAATTGGGGGAGGTGTGAAATGGAATTGATCCTGTATTCGGAAGAGGAGGAAAGTCTTGGGTTGATCGATCAGCCTTGTTGCCTTTCCTCCTTCTTGATTTTGCTTTCACAAATCCGTCGAACTGTACGTCTTCGTCTGTGGATGTGAGATGATCATCAGTGACGTTTCTCAGTGGTCTTTTTAGGGTCTTTGTCTGTTCTTTAGGGGATTCTTTTGAATTTAGTAATATGGTTACCTGGGCGGTCAGGCTGTCAATTTTGGCTGTCTGGTCCTTGATGGTCTCCATTAGGTCTCGAATCTGCCTCGCCTGGTCGTCTATAATCAGCATCAGTTTTTCGTTCGTTTTCTGCTCCGATGACATCTGCGTCAGTGAGCTCATGTTTTCTGATTCTGCTCGGTTTCCGCCACCGCTCAGCTCTTTCCTCATAGTATGTGGAACTGCGTCGTCTGTTGATCCTCCTGGGTCAACTTCCATCTTTTAAAAACTTTTTCTCGCCAACAAATCTCCGAAAACTTATAGCTCGCAAATGTGACAATGTTGTCAAAACCCTTCTTACAGGGCGTTTTTAGCTTCCGCTTTCCATAACCAATCATACGAATGACTGACACATGTAATATCTTCAAATGTGTATTCAACCTTTATGATATAACATAATAGTAGGTCAGTATCACTGGCGAATCTATGGTCTGTGGGGCCCAAAGCACAAAGTTGATATGGGGCCCATCTCTATACACATCATAAATTAATCGGATGAAAACGACTTCGAATGTTGTTCTAAAGAGGTAGTTGAAAATGGGACATGTAACGTTAAAGAGCGAAGCGGAGTGCTGGAATGGCATTATCCTGGAAACATAAATTTTATCTACTCCGACGCTCCATAAATTGCGTTTCGGAACCCCGTCTGAGTCCCAGGGTCTGACGCACATTGCGTCGTCTTGGCTCCTGGTTATCATTAGAAAATATTCAGTCATTTGTTCTAATTTAAACCTTGAAACCATTTTGATTTGACCATTCGATACGATTCGATATTTGTTCATCAGTCATCCAATGTAGATACTTTCTCTAATATAAACCTTAATGCAACATTTTATCTTCTATCAACTCATAAGTGCCACGAGGATTTTTTTAACTAGTAACAATAATAATAGTAATAATTGTTTTTATAGACCAAAGCATGGTACATAAAACATGGAGCAAGATTTAGCACCTGCTATTCCACCTTCTGATGTTAGTACGGTCATGTGAGTAAAGCTTAGAATGGAGTATGTGAACGCTTAGCTATGTAAGATTTCGATACGAATGTGATACATGATCGAAATTTCTTAGGCCTTACATAAACCTTACACAAGTATTCTGCATTATCTGCAAACGCTTTGCGTTAATAGAGGTCGGACAAGGGTAAAATATAGATAAATCATTTTAGAAATAACTAAGCTTTGACACAATTTAATTTTCACATTTTTATGCAGCGTATGTTTGTAAACAGAATATAGATAACAATTTTTAAAGACGGCACTCAGATGGAACTTAAAATGTTAGTCCGACTCAAAGTGAAAGCCAATTTTTTTACTTTTTCATCTGAGTAACATCAGCAAAAAAATTGAGCATGTGTATTCTTGAAGTTAGCATGTGAATGGCACCGTTTCGGAAGTAGTTACATCACAACGACAAGACTAACACCGAGTGTCCTACGTAAAGACTCTAAAAATCTACAATTTTGACTAACTTACGATACTTAAAGAATATTCTTCCACCGCATTCATGATAAGACCAAATAACACGTCGAGATCTTTAAACGCCTCATAGCAGTCGCGATGCCTCGGTATTTAGGATTCTGCCTACGCTTTTGCGTCAGTATGAAAAAAAACTCAACCATGAGTGTCCCTTCCAAAACCCAAGTGCCGGCGATACCAAAGGTTCCTCTCACTATGAAGGAACTTTTACTCTCTAATATAAAACCAGAAGGCAGATACTGGAATCGCTTGCCACCTACAATGCTGCTGGCCCTACCATTCGTGTCGAGGATGTGTGCATCGTCCTTTCACGCGTCTCTTTGAGATGTCATGCGACTCCAGTATTTTCCCAGGCAGCAAGAGATTTGCTCTTCACCAGTCTGCCTCAACAAAGATCGATGGCGAATCCTCACAATAGTGATTTTATGACTACTTTAAGTCTCTCCTCTTAGACTTTTAGCTTTCGGAGCTACTAAGGTGCCATCAGTATATTGAGAAAGAATATGATACATACACTTGCTGTAGAATATGGTGTCCAATAAAAGATTGTCACCAGCCCTCGTATAAAGAGGCATGTGATTCTCAAGGCTGTCAAAGCCACAATACGTCGCTATCCCACTCACATCTATGCTCCAAGATGAGTAGGTGTTCCATGTCAAGAAAAAACCAAAACAAACATGACTAACATAACCTCATATGTTTTTCGGATGATGTGGATAACAAGATATTTTTATTAGTGAAATAAACGATTTTATTGATAATAAACTATAGACTGAAAGTCAATGAGTGGAATAATAAAGAGACATGTCTTTCCTTCAAGACTCCATAGTGATTTTTGCATCTCAGGTAGTATAACTTCAATTTTATACTGAAATTAGTATTGCACAATTGCTCTGATTTTATTTCAGGTAGCATTTTTTGTCGGAGCATGGATCTTTTTCATGAAACAGTTATTTAAGGATTACGAAGTTCGTCATGTTATGGTACAACTGATTTTCTCAATTACACTTACACTTTCATGCACGATGTTCGAACTAATCATTTTTGAAATATTAGAAGTCTTGGATTCCAGCTCTCGGTACTTCTATTGGTACCTCATGTTGTATCTGCTTCTATTTGTTGTAATAGTATTGAATCCATTTTATATTGGGTATTATTGCATAAGCAATGTTAGATACGGTAAGTTGGATATTAAGTAATGTTTTGCTACTAGATATTGTAGTATCTTAATAAAACATTTCTATTTGTTGCCGGAGTGCTAACCAGGAGTGATGTGGTCTATGACTAAAAGTTTTTTAGAGCCTTATCCAAAGAACAAAAAGTTGCTAAACATTCATACCAGCATACAGATTTGTACTACTTGTATTACATCCTCTAAGTAGGTGTCGCTAAAAACTGGGGCACTGAGTACTACAATGTTTTACTTTTTGACAGCTGTGCTTCTGCTTCATTTTACTGTGTTCTCATCTTAACCTACTTGCACACATACCGATTTTGGACGGCCGGTAAAATATCGACAGATTTTTTATCGGTAGGCTCTGCTTACACACGCGGCAGTTTTTTACCGGTGCAGTACTGATTTACAATATTATTTTTAATGAATCCTCAATGAGTTGTTGCAATGTGGTTACTGTACCAGCGTATAAAGCATCGGAGAATTAAGCGACAGTTCTGGATTCATTTTTCTCTTTAGACTCCATTTCTTTAAAATCCTCAATATGTCCAAAGTTTTATCCCATAAAACTGGTCTTGCTTCCTCTTTATCCATTGTAAACGTATATGCAGTCGTAATCACAGCCATTAAATGATAGGTGAGTGTGCAATCTCCTATTCAAACACGTATGCCTCTATATTTCTATATTTTCCCACTGCCGGTCGGTGGTCAGCCAGTGTGCAAGCTTCAATGCCCTCCAATGGTTTACCATTAAAATGTGGTCGACCGATATTTTACCGGCCGCCCAAAATCGGTGTGTATGCAAGTAACCTTATGACTTTAACATCTTTAGAAAATATAAATTATTTTAAAACACAAATATTTTACTGTTTTAGTTAAACCTGAATATATCAAGCATTTAACTGTACTGATATGGATAGGGTTTTTGATCATATTCTGGAAAATAGGAGACCCATTTCCAATTTTGAGCCCCAAACAAGGCATCTTATCTATGGAGCAATTGGTTTCAAGGATAGGAGTCATTGGGGTAACAGTTATGGCAGTTTTATCTGGTTTTGGTGCTGTAAACTATCCATACACATCAATGACCTACTTTATGAGGTACTCATCCAATTTTAGTGCTGCTACTTCATGTAGTGTTGCTAAATTTGTAAATGCCGAAAATAAATTATAATTTTTCAATGTCCTTGGTTGCAGAGATGTGACAGAAGCTGACATATTAAATATTGAAAAGAGACTCCTACAAACTATGAATATGATAATAAGCCGGAAGAAAAAGATAGCTATTGCTAAGAGACAAAACACAGAAGGTGTTGAATCTCCACAAAGAAGAGGGATTTGGGGTATTCTATCATCTGTGGGTATTAACAGGGGTCAAGAAAGTTAGTAAGTTTTTTGACATTATTCACAGTATAAGTGCTTAACATCAAAAAATGTTATCTACAACTTTTGCCAGTCCATTTCACTTGGTGTAAATAACTATGTCATTCTTTTTCATATAATCAAAGGACTTAGTTAATCAGTGCATCAAAGGAAAGAGGAGATACAACTCCTTGACACCAAATGAAATGGAGTATCTTGATTCTAGTGGTAGCAGTACCTTTTTTTGCATAAAAATTGCAGATAAATGTTTTTTGATAGTAAGCCCCTTGTTTCAGAGAATGGATTTTGAAATTGGCATATTTGTACATTGCAGACATTTCTCAGCTAAAGCTAGAAATTGAAGGGTTTGAAGAATTAAGCAGAACTCTATTTTTGGAGTTGCATGAAAGCCGTAATATGCTGGAGAGGATAGAATGGTCAAAGACCTGGAAAGGCATTTACTTCAACTTTCTAGGTTATATATTCTCTGGATACTGCCTATGGAAAATATTCATTGTTAGTATAACATTACAATCACCTACAACTAAACTCTATCACATGGCACTTACACCATATCAAAACAAACACAGGTCAGTTTGCTGGGTAAGCAATAATAAGCCAATAGGAGTATAAAGATTGAGAGATCGACGAGACCTGATTGTTGTTGCGTAAGTGCCATTGGGATATGACTGAAAATGTCATGTTTTTTTTTTATTTCAGTGTACTGTAAACATTGTGTTTGATAGAGTCGGAAAGAAAGATCCAGTGACAAGAGGGATAGAGATTGCTGTCCACTGGATGGGCTGGGATTTTGATGTAAACTTTTGGTCTCAACAAGTGTCATTCTATTTAGTTGGATGCATTGTAGTTACATCCATTAGAGGGTTCATTATTACCCTAACCAAGGTAACTTCAAAAGTATTTGTAGCTTGAAACAACTCTTAGAAAAAATACTAGGGTGCCAAAATAGAATTCGCCTCTGCTACGGCAGTAAGTCTTTGTATATCCGTCCTCACCATCCTCAAAGACGCAGCGCGTTAGCATATGATGCGTTACGCTGCTCTCTTCAATGTGAGTACCCGACGATGTGATACAGAAGATAAAGATACGGAAATCAGACTGCAGAGCTCTTTGTGTTTTTTATGAAGCTTTGTTGTTGCGATTATAGCATGACATTTCGACAACAAATATGATGATGCTGTCGCTCTGCTACATCATGGTTACCACGTTAAGCTCTCCACTCACAATAATCGCCGAAGGTGCAACTACATGCAAAAAATTATTCGCGATTATAAATACTAGGATTGAAGCAATTTACAGAAGAGCTGGGTCGTTTCTGACCGAGTCGTTTCAAAGAAACGATACCTCACTCAGAGAGAATTGAAGGATTCCGATTTCTGAAACCGGCACGGGTATTACGTATCTTGAAAAGTGACATTATGTCGATTTTTTTTGACATTGTACTAGTTTTTTGTATAAGATTAGTGATATTTGCTGAGTGAGAGAATCATTACTGAATATGCTGGCAGTGAAGTTTATCTATTAGCTGTGCCCGACGGGTTATTTATATGTTGTGCTTTCTGAAGACAGATCATGTTCAAAGTTATAAATTACGATTTTTTAAGTGTGTTTTCAAAAACTTTGAGGAGAATTGCGGAAAATATACATTGTATTCATTGTAGACGCATTGTATACATCGAGACGTAGACAATTAATGTATACGCGTAAACGCCCTTCACTGGTTCTAGCTATAGTATACCTCCAGTAATGCCAACTCTGAGGCAGATTTTACATTAGACCAGAGCCAACCATTGATAACTGGAGCCTCGTGACATTTAGGCAACACGTACAACTACAAACCGAGTTCACTACGTGTGCTACGAGCCCCATTCCCACTTCAAGATTTGTACCAAAATATGCCTTTATAAACTAAACATGACGAAACTATTTCCTTCTAAAACAATTTATTTTCTCAAAAACATATTAGATACACTCTAGTCGTAAAAAATACATATTTGAAATCACTTAGACCTATAACAAATAGAACATCTGAACAAACAAACAATGTGCGAATAAATGCGCGAAGTTAACAAAGCAACAATTGAAAAATTACCATTGGGTAACATCACCTTTATTTTTTATTACGGCTGAAATTCTTTGGGGCATAGTGTTAACCAAGTTTTGGCAAAAATTTGGTGTAAAACAATCCCATATTTCTTGAAGCTTTTGTCTCAGTTCGGTGATTGTACAAGCAGGATGTTGTCGTAGAACCTTTTTCATCTCGTGCCACAAAGTTTCAATAGGTGACAGATCTGGACTGCTAGAAACCCATTTCAAAAGTGCCACATTATTTTCTTCCATCCATTTTATAGCCTTTTTTGAGGTATGGCACGCTGCACCATCTTGCTGAAACACAAAATCTTGACCGGATGTCAAACATTCTTCCATCACTGGTAAAAGCGATTCTTCTAAAATTGTCAAATATTTGTTTTATTTGTTTGTATCCACATTTCCATCAATAAAATGAAGTTTTCCTACTCCTTTTGATGACATACTGCCCCAGACCATAATGGATGCTGGAAATTTCACTTTTCTCTTCAGACAGTCAACATGGAGTGCTTCATTTCTTTGCGGATAACTCTACTGCGACTGTCACCAACACAAACTTCGAATCGGGCCTCATCAGTCCATTGTATTGCACACGATTGTTGAGGTGTCCATTGGCTATGTTCTTTAGCCCATCTAAGCCGATTTTTCTTTTGCAGTGGATTTAATAGTGGCTTTTATTTGGCCTATAAATAAGTTGTGCAACTTTAGGGTTTTTACTTCACTTTTTTTTATAAGAAAACTTACCTTGCAAGTGCTAAATCCCAGTTTGTGGGCCTCTCTATGAGTTGTGGACCTCGAAATTCCCCTTCCAACAGCGTCACTCCACAGAGCACTTAATTGTAAGTAATTGGCACGCCTGTTTTTCACGATTATTCTTCTTAATGCTCTTCGGTCTTCATTTGTGATATTACTTTTTTCACATATCGTGGCTTAATATTAACTGAACCAGTTATGTTATATCTTCTAACAATATTTCTCACACTATACCGCGATAAGTCTAACAAAGTTGCAATTTCTGAGTTTGATTTCCCAGAATTAAAAAAATTAATTAATAGTAACCGAATTTTCTCACTAATAACCTTTACTCTACCCATTTTGAAAACCTTAACTACCCAAAACTATTTTAAACGTATTCTGACAGCTGTGATTAATAAAAATAATTGTCATGGCTTTTCTTTTCACAGCCACCTATGCGTTATAGACTTATTTTGCATTGAAATGAAAATAGGTTGATATGCTGTAATTGCAACATGTGTTATTTTTATGCTGCAAATTTGATTAGGGAATGATAAAGTCGGTGTTTTCTACTATATATTATCAAAATATTCATTGTTAATATTTTAAACTTATAACACCCTGCTACATTTTTATTATTTGTGTTTGATAAGAAAAAACTTAGATTTCAATAGTTGGGCCAACTGAAGTGGGAAGGGGCTCGTAGTGCTAAGTTCACATCTTGCAGAAAAACCTACATAATGCCACAAAAAAACAATATCATGTCAAAAAAATCGACATAATGTCACGTTTCAAGATACGTAATACCCGTGCCAATGTGAATGGTTCTATAGTCAAATAGTACCTACAAAAAATGGAGTGACTCCTCATCTACCGACATTAATGTGACGCTAAAAGCACGACGTTTTTAAGCGTTCTTATGCCTGTATGTCACTCACATCGACAATTTTTTTCAGTTCTTCAACCGGATGTCATCAAGCAAGAGCTCGAACATAATAGTGCTGGTGTTAGCGCAAATAATGGGCATGTACTTCATATCATCGGTGCTTCTACTTCGGATGAATATGCCTCTTCAGTACCGTACCATTATCACTAAAGTGTTGGGTGCCTTACAGTTCAACTTCTATCACCGATGGTTTGACGTCATATTCCTTGTCAGCGCGATCGGGAGCATCGTGACTTTGTACTTGGCACATAAACAGCCGATTAAAGAAAGTGTGTGATTATTTTTATATTGTACATAATATTTGTAATACAAGATTATAAGTTTTTTGTATCTTCTAATACTCAAATATAACATGCTAGAAATGCTTAGAGACTAAAAGTGCACGCCCACTAAGGGGAAGGAAAGCAAAGAAGAGCTGGTTCACTGGGTTTCTTTAGATATCGTTGTCACCGAAAGCATTTGTTATGCATTTAAATACATGCGTTTTCACCAAAGCAATAGCAACTCGATAGTTTCTCAATAGTTGCTGGCACTGACGTCGACAGTCCGTTTGGAGATTCATCGGTGGATCTAAGTGTGTTACTTCAGCTAACGTTCCGATCGTACCCTCATTGATAATCTTGTAACATGGAGATACATCTGTGCATTTTATAAGAAAATGATTGGACATATTACATAACGAAATAGATGTCAAAACATCTAGAAGTGGATCGAACCACCGCAACCCATACAGTTTACAGCCTTCTGAAAAAAACTTTATCCCGGAAGGGGGGAAGCGCTGTACAGGGGCACATAAACACACAAAAAGTGTGCTCAAATAAATTAAACACTTGTTCGATTAGATATGTCATAAAATGGAATAATCAACTGTAATAGAGCTTCAAAACATCAAGTAAATTACAGCCAAAAGAGGTACAGTGGACCCCCGATAATCCGGCCCCTGTCTAATCCGGCGGTATCCCCTGTAATCAGACATATCTTTTAAAACGCTCTAGCCATCCTTTGCTGGCCACAAAATCATCTTTTTTTGTTATTTCCTTATAAAAAAACTTAGCTTTCATGGCCAACATGGGTCCTGGAATTGGTGCATACCTATTTCTTTCCTGAAGAAACCACATGTACAAAGCTTCTTCCACTTCTGGATGTTCAGCTTTCCTGAGTGTCTGTCTCCTGCCTGACCCGCAGTCATTAGTTGACACGAACTTCTTGATCTTCTCGTGGTTTCTTTTAATGTCATAAATCGGAGATCGGCCTACGCCGTATTCACTTGCTAAACTACTGAAAGTTTCATTGCGATTTAAGCGGTATAAAATATACATGTTTTTCCCCCGAAGGGTAAAAAACATTTATTTTGGGTCTTGCCGAAGCTTGACCCTTATGAGACTACTACCCTTGTTTACCAGCCCCTGTCAGGTGCTCCGTCCTTCTCTAGCGGTCGCGAATCAATCTGCCCCTCTCTGTCCCGCTCAGAGCCTGGTCGCGACCGCCCGTCAGCGCCGGCAAGCCCGCTTGCGCTTCAGTACGTGTCTTTTTTAAGCCGGCTAGGTATAAAAATTTTAGGGTCAAGCTTCGGCAAGACCCAAAATAAATGTTTTTTACCCTTCGGGGGAAAAACATGTATATTTTAGGTCTGTGCCTTTGCTTGACCCTTATGAGACGTGTTTGTAGTCTGCCGGCGCTAAGAGCGTACTGTGATAGGAGGAAAAAACCCCAAGTCGGTAGAACATAAAGGTTTATATTGTAGCAACGAACATAAATGGTGACATTCTTATTGAAAAAAAAAACAACAAACAAAAACAAAAATGATGGCTAAACAACATCAAAATGTTCCGAGGGAGTATTTCCCTTACGATCTGTAGGTCCTCCTGGCTCGACTAGCTTACAATAGTACTTGAAAAAGTTTTTATCACTCTGCCAGTTTCCCTTCTTCAGAATCTCGTCCAATGGCATATTCACACTAAAGCGATCTGACCCAACCGCTGAACGAATGCTACCTGGTCCTGTATCAACACCAATCTGCTTTAGGGCGGTTTTAACCCATCCTGCAATCACAGCTTTTGAAGCTGGCCGCACCTTTCCCCTAGATGATATGAACAGACTATCCAAATCCGGCGCGCCATGTCGCCTTTCCTCGGAAAGATATATCAAAATTCGTATCCACTTGATTATATCCACCGATTTATCATCATTCTCTGAGATCTTCCATCCCGATTGCCTGTACGAAGACCTGTCCGTCTTAGAACCGAACTTAGGCCAGAAAACCATCCATGAGCCAAAATCCTGGAAATAGGAGCCACTAATGGCTAGCAGGGTTAAATCGTGGATACGTCTGCCTGATGCAAGAAGAAGTAAAATGGCGAGATGCCGTGAAACCTGGAACATACTGTCCAGATCGGGGGGATTGGATTTTAACCAGGCTATTAAATCATTAATGTTCCAAATACTGATTCTGCGATTAGTCACCTTAGAAAGGCTGATAGCCTTGAGCATATGTTTCACCACAGGGTGCCTATTTATAGCCTCAGCGTGGGATGGATCGGCGAATGTGGTCACTATCGATTTATTTAAGAGGATAGTATTATATGAGAGTTGCTTAGCCTTGTGTAAAAAACTAAGAAACAATGCGACCTCTTTTGGGTTAGGGTTATTGACTTGAACCTTCTGACTCCTAGCCCACTCCAGCCATCGTTTCCAGCCTGCCGAGTATGTCTTGAGGGTACCAGGTCTCCAGGCTTTCAATAGAAGCGCTATATCATCTGCGCTCCATCCCTCGGTGTAATGTAGCCACCCCGCACCTTCCAAGCCTCCAAATGTAGCTGCTGGACTTCTGGTGGAACTTGATTGGTCGCCATGTCTATCAGGTGAAGATGGGTGTCTTGAATCGGCAGTGATGGCTCCAGCGCTCTCTTGCGTAAGTCGGGCAGCCAAAATGCCTGCTCCCATCGTGGGGCGATCACAATATAAGTCCCCTCCGCTGAATCGAGGTGATGGAGCATCCTTGGAATTAATGATGGAGGGGGAAATACCCAAGCAATTCCGAAGCTCCATGGGCGACTGAACGCATCTATGAAAAGGGCGTCCGTGTCCTCCGGAAACTGGCTTACATAGGCAGCTACGACTCTCGACCTCCTGGTTGCAAACAGATCGATTGTTGGTTGGCCCCATTTGAGAAAAATTGGACGAATGGCAGTCTCTGACAGGTGCCAGTCTGGCACCGCCTTCTGCCGAGACAGGTGATCGGCAATACTGTTGTAAACCCCCGGGATGTACCTTACTGATATCTGGATCTGGTAGCTCCTTGCAAACAACAGTAGCTGTTCCGTCATTCTGAGAAGGGTTCTGGATTTGGTGCCTCCCTCGTTTCTTATATAAGCAACAACCGTCTGGCTGTCGGACTGTATCAATACGGTTTTGTGCCTCAGAATCGCCCTGTACCTCCTCAATGCACGGAAAACGGCAAACAACTCCTTTTTGTTTATGTTGCTGGCTATCTGGATGCGCCGACAATGCAACCGTCCCAGAGGTATTGCAAATCCTACGAAGTTTAATTTTCCAAGAATCGACTTCGCCTGTCTCCAATTCCAGAGCCCTGAGTCGATTCGCTTCCGGAGTTCTTTTCTGATTCGGTCGACTTTTCTCTGCGGGACGAATTTGCGGTTCCTCCCCGTGTCCCAGCCTAGCCCAAGAAACTCTATCACTCGAGTGGGCTCTAAGATTGACTTTGAATAGTTGATCTTCCATCCTAGGTTTCTTAGGAAGGCCACGGCTAGGTGCATGTCGTGTCTCACCTCTTCCACGGTTTGACCGGCTATCAAAAAATCGTCCAAATAAACGATGATTCTTACATTCTTTTTCCTTAGCTGGCTTGCTATCCAATTTGACACTCTTGCAAATGTAAGGGGCGCGGTTGCTAGTCCGAAGGGCAAGCACGTCATGGTATATACCTTCCCCTGAAATGATAGGGCTAGATACCGTTGGTGACTCTTCTTGACTGGTATATGAAAATATGCCTGCGATAGGTCGAGCTTGACCATGTAGTCGTATCTTTGTAAAAACTCTGGAACCCGGTGATGGCTTATTAAATGAAATCTTTTTGGGCTCAGGAAGGCGTTTAATCTTCTGAGGTCGAAAATGGGGCGATTGGAGCCGTCTGCTTTTGGGACCAAGAACATTCTTGAAAGGAACCCGGATTTCACTGAGCTCGGGACCTCCTGTAGAACTCCGGTTGCCAATATATTCGAAATTTCTCGATACATCTTCGCATTCGACTGAGGTTTGCAGTCTTTGGATACTGGCTGTGGAAAATGGGACTGAGGGAGGTTTCTTGCAAAACGGAATTGCGTACCCTGCTATCATTTTTATTAACGATTTTGGTGCTCCTGCCATGATCCAGTTTTGGGCGAAATCCCTCAGTTGACCTGCTTTCCAATCTCCCCGACACCTTGCAACTTTCAATGTGTCAAAAGCGTCGCGTCGGTTTACCATGGCTCTTCGAAGTTCTGTCCTGCTTGGCCCGAAAAGTGGATGTCTTCCGTGAAGATTGGTTTTCCTGTCTCAAGTTTTGGCTTTTTTGGGATCTACTCTCGGGCTTACGGGCCTGTTTACTGGCCACTCCGTCTTGTTTCGCGAAAGGAATTTTCCTCTTAAATGTCGGCCTCAGGCTTCCTGCTTGTGACTTTAACAGATCCTCAATTTTATTCTCGTCAAAGAGATGAGATTCGGAAAGAGGAATCTTCGATAATACCATAGCAACGTTTGTGTTCAGTGGAGCTAGTTGGCTCCGTCTCAACTCTATCGCTTCCGCTCGCTTGCCACATATGAACTGCAAAAGATTATCCGAATGTTGGCGAAAGAGGCATCCCGGCCCAATAAGCTCCGACTCTATCAGGTCCGCTGACGATGGGCAGGCGTCAATAATCATATTGATTGCCTTTTGGAATGCCGCTCGCTGTAATAGTAAACCGTGACACACGGTCCCATAGGACCCCTCCGTTTTTTCTAAAAAGTCAGACTCAAAGCTGTCCTTGGCTAAGTGTCGCAGCTGCGTGTTCAAGCACAGCGCACCAAATACAGGAGATGCATGTAAGCGCTTTTGCACATCCGCATACCTAATGCGATTCCATGACGACTCTTCCAATCGCTGGCAACTCAGGCCTTGAATCCGTATGTCTGGAGCGGGTTGAGGGACAGTCGGCTCCTGCTCCTTTGTCTGAGGCGTAAAGTCTACTACCGTCCGTTTGCTGACTGTAGAAACCACCTCTGGGGCTCTCCACGGAGTTGACCCCGCATCCGATTCTCTCTCACTCTCCACTTCCTCCATGAATTCTTCTGCCTGGTCTTCCTCCAAGTCAGAGTCCCCAGT